GTACGTTTAGAAGAATAAACCTTGTGACACTTGACTCCAGGAAAGTATTTAGACAGTATCTATAGAATAAGTGAATGAGCTAAACATCTCATGTAATTATGGCAATTAGGGGTAGTACATCAGAATCTCTGTATCCCTTACTTTTGTCTATATAATTCGGCTTCCTCTATAGAGTTTAAAAACATACAGCTTTCATTATATGCATCTCTGTTTCTCTCACCTTCAGCAGGTATTTCGAGTTTAATTAGAGGTGACTCCTAACCATGTATGTTGGGTAAAACCATTACCCATCAATGTAATTCCTTCTTTTCGTAAGATAATGTCAAATATTATACTACTCACTTAATTGATACCTTTAAATTCTTATACCTCGAAGGTGATGGACTAAGGCCTTTAGAAAATAAGAGCTTTCGATAGAAGGCTTAATTAAATTCTCGGTGTTGAGGTTTTGTGATTTTATGAAGACTTTCCTAATTTGAAATTTGGAAGATGATGTGTTCTGTTTTACTTGCTTGATTTCCTGAAGGCTACTGAGTTATGGAATTCTGTCTGTGATGTTTATCAAGTAAGGTAATTAATGTCGAAGCCTGAATATAAGGCAAAGGGGTGATGAGTTTAGTGAGTGAACTGAATTTTATCATAGGTAAGGAGTAAGTTAGGAGGTGGTGAAACTTTTAATTTGTAACAAGTACGCAGCAAAGATGAAATATTTGTAATTGGAGATCGTAGTTAATTAGCCCCTCTTTTGCACAAGTAATAGGCAGGTGCTGTTCTGTTTGATTAAATTGTCTAATTTGGAATCGGGAAACTCAGTTTGTGTTACCATTGGTGAAGTAACCTTGTAAATTGAATTGATAACTTTCAACCAATTACGCATAAAACTCTAGAGTCATCTTGTAGGTAATGACGTGCATTTTCAGTATAGTAAGTATAGCAGGTACATAAGTAAGATGATGGCACGTTATCGATATTAACACACATGAGAAACAAGGAACATGAATAATAACGTTATTGGATAATCACAAATGTATACAGGTATAGAACCGGATTCATACCTTATTTAGGCACTAGAATAGGATTTCCTTGGGTCTTAAAAAGAGATCATGACAGTGAAAACCTAGGTGGCTGTTTTCTTCCAACTATCGAGTATAAAGTTTATATCGCATAGAAGTGTTTTGTAAATCGATTTGTCTAGTGTACCAACCAATTATGTACTAAAGCCCTGAGCTTCATTATAAATTTTTGGATAGCTGAAGTATCTTCGTTTAGTAAGACTATATGTCGGTTTTACTCCACCTTGGTTGCAGTATGATCTTTGATGTTGATTAAAAAGAAAGCAGGCATTTGTTTTGTTCTGATTAAGCTTAGGAGAATTCTTATTCCCTTCCGTGTGAGTAAAATTTTGTTATATACGTATATCTAATGAACATGTAAAGTATAATCTGTTTGTAATACCTGAATTAATGATTGATGATTTTTATAGATGCCTATCTGAATGAAATATAATGTATGAATGCAACTGTGTTATGCATTCGACTTAAGCGGTTCTCGGGATGGTAGGACGAATTTTGGGGACAAACTTCAAATTTTGGTGGGGAGAGTGTAACAACCAGCAAAAATATTAAAAACCTTGAAGAATCTAGTGCTTATAAAACTGTTCATATCAGGAATTTTAGAGGAAAATATCCTTTTGGTTAATTTAATTCTCGGGTCTTGCCATGAGGAGTAGAGTGGGAAAGATTAATGGTGAGTCATTCGAATTATTATACTTATTAGTGGGTTTCAACCAAACTCTAAGGAATTAATTACTATTTTTATTTTATGATGAGATAACTAATACCTTAAGATGTAATCATGAAATCGAATTACATGTAGGTGTAGGATAGGAATTATTTTAATTACGACGTACAAAAACCTTATTTAATAATTAGTAGACTACATGAAGTAATACTCATTAGGGGATGAAATTCTTGGACCCTATGACCTTTAAGGGGCCACGGCCCAAACCTCTAAAATTGAGGTTTAAGGCAGCCCAATATCTTCCCTACTCATGATCCTTTAGTTCATCCTAAACAAAATCTGCGTGTAGCTTGTTATTGGCCAAGAATCAACCACATGTCCATCCTTGTATCTATTTTTCCTGCGCCTAGTGTAAGCCTGCTCGGCCGAAGAGCAACATCTAAGGAGATTGTAAACAAGCTCAACATTTCACCTTCCTCTCTCTCACTGGTTCAGCCAAAGAGCACCCTTAAGGAGTCTTGTATGAGTCCTTCCTCCTATTGCATGCAGCTGTAACGCGGCCCTTGTGGAGTAGAATGAGGAGGAAACCGCATATCATTTAGTGGTTGTCTTCCCTTGGCAGATTTGAGAGCTGTGTGTACATACAAGAGGTATCAGTCAAACCCCAACTCCTTCCTTTCACCATTCTGTTTCGGCCTGCATAGGTGCCCTAGGAGGATAAATTTTTGTCAATCCTTCTTCCTTGTCTATGTTTAGTTGGGCAGCCTTGGTCTTTTGGAAGCATGCAAGCCAAAACTGATTTTGGAAGCTTGGAAAATAGCTTCTTATCATCCTTTGAACCGTTTCCTTTGGACTAAAAAAATTATTCATCTTGCATGTGTTAAAATCGATTGAGACAGCATGTTAGGAACTTATTCACCATGCCTAAGTTATGAAGAGAGGTTATATAAATGAAAAGTTTAAACCTCTAGTTAAGGGCCTTAAAAAAAAAACCGAATTGGTATGCATGGAAAATCTTGGATTTTATCACTGTTAACGAGTTGGTAAAATGATATGAAATCAGAAAAATTAGTTTAGTAAAAGAATCAGGAAAAATCGAACAAATACAAGGGTTAGTGGGCATGGAGATTACTTGTGAATTATAGGAAACATAGAAGGAAAATTTTGATTTGGTGTCTTGGTTACCTAGATGCGCAAGTCTCTAAAGAAAAGGGGACTGATTTTGGTGTTGCGTTGGGTTAAAAGATTTGGACACACCAAGGTAAGTGTTAGGTGGTTAAACCTTTGTGACTATTAGTTTAGTACTTGGATTTTTGAACTGTTGCTCATGTGCCCCTGTATATGTATGTATCCTGTTGGAAAATATTGTACTCTGCCTTTTGAATTTGGACCTTTTGGAATTCTGTTTGAAGACACATTTGATTCGAATTTTTGTTGTCTTAGTTATGGAAACTATGATTCTCTGATTCTGATATTTAGTCATGCTCATGAACATCATAAAACTGCATTTTGTCATATGTGTGCGAAGCAAATCATATCACATCATACAACATTATGCATTCAGTTTTGGAAACCGAAATATTTGATAAAAGTAAGCATATGTTTGAGCATGCATCATATAGGCATCCCTCAGGTACCAGGGAGAAGGAACCGTGGCTCAGTTCGCATAGGTCGCAGTTGGAATTCCCCTCTGTTCGGGCCAAATGGAATCTCCATTGTGTTAGCTAGTATGTGCACCTTAGTGCTATGAACATACAGTATTCTGGCGTTATATACGCATTCTGATTAAATTTTAGTATCTGTTCGGAATTTATTTGATGATGCGATTGTTTTGGAAATTCTGTATATAGACTAATATTGTTGCACTACTGGTTTTTCTGCCACACTACTGGAATTTTCTCACTCCTTTGGGGCTCAATTTGTATAAATTGCAGGAGAATGAAGAAGCACATGATGAAGTATTTGATTTAGATTTATTCTGTTTGATTCTGCTGTTTGGAGACTCTACTGTTTGTTCACTGTTCTGATGGTTGTATGCTACCTGTTCGAAGTTGGTGTAATATTTTGTGAGACTGGAAAATATTAGAAAAGTGTCTTACCTTGCTATATTTGGATTTTTATATTCTGCCTGAAACGTACGTAATTCTGGTAGTTGATTTGCAAAAACAATTTCTGCTGTATTAAATTCGGAATCCTTACTTCGATTTTTCGAGCAATTTGCGAGTTCTGTTTCTGGGGCTATAGACCTCCGTTTGGGATATAATTTATATGTACGTAAAGCCCCAGATGTCTATTTTCAAATTATATAAATTTTATGTCAAAAGCTTGTAAGCCCGATTTTATATAATTTTTGCAGGTCAGGTAGGTTTTTGGAAAAATTGCACTGATTTAACGTGTATCTTGCGAGTTCTGTTTCCAGGGCTACAAAACTCCGAACGAACTATATTTTATATGTACGTGAAGCCTCATGTTCCTACTTTCTTCGTGTCAAAGAAAATTTTAGAAAGCTCGTAAGTTCAATTTTAAATGATTTTTGCAAGACAGACTGTTTTACATGGAAGGATTCACTGTTTCATCATCAACGTTTTATGAAACTCTTCACCGTTTTTCCTATGAAACCCGATTTCAATACAAGCTTTTAATTGTGACTTCAAAGTGCATTTTCAGATTTTAATACATAACATTGCAACTCTAATAAGATTTAGCAAACCTCTTCCTTGGATGCATACAAGGGAGGGTGTCACATCATCTAAATCTAAATTAACACATTAGTAAATGTTTGAACGAAATGCTTTCCATGGCACTAAAAAGTTTCTATTCTGAAATGGGGCATATAATGTTCAAACTTAATATTTTAGTTCAACCATAGAAGAGGGGGAAAACTATTACAAGTATTAAATTGAAGTTTGAAAATGAATAGTCCACCCACAATAAATAGAAGATTTTCCAAAGTAAATATATTAACCAGTATTCAGAATTCATTATAATCTAGTAGAAAGTGAAATTGCAAATGATACTTATGAATCATGTTCAAGTGAGAACATGGGAGGTCAATAACCTAAGCAATGTGAGTTCTTCACATGATAAGAAGAGAAATACACACAACTTAAAATAGGAGACCCACATCCCTTAGTACTACCGACAATCCTTATATGAAAATCTCAGATTAAAGGATCCAAATTACTCACATACCCATCATTTTCGTGAAATTTTTGTCCGAAAGAAAAAAAAAAAAAAAATTCTAACTTGGTTCCTTTCCAGGCTTATAAATTAGTCATACTTAGCATAAATATGTATATACCCCACCTTAGTCAGGTACAGTTATGCATTTTTAACAAAATATCCCTGACACAGTAGTAGCAAATGCTAAACAACATGGAAAATCAAATTGCGGCAGAGAAGACACAGCGGATGAAACAAAAAACATTCCCTATATTAAAACATTGCAAACTACAATGGCAAAAGCATGACAGGACAGGGAATGAACTCAGCAAGCAAATTTGCATCTATATGCTTGGTATGAATTGCTTCCATGCTAATAACTACCAAATCCAAATTCAGGTCATCAGCAACATCACCAATAATTGCTGTTGGCTTGCTCCCTTCACCAAGCCGCTCTAGCAAGTTATAGTCCTTCAATCCACCTGTATATTTTATTATGAAATAAAAAACAAGTAGAAGGAACAATAATTTATAACAATCCTTAATTTTAATCCACCTTTCACACATGAATGCACTCAAAAATGATAAGAATAAGACCCCAAGATCCCTAATTTTTTCATGTCTTCAGCCTAGATGAAGCTTTAATACTAGCTGTGTATTCAATATGATTTTAAAACAACCAACTATGGCATAAAAAATGCATAGAATTCACCTAAATAATAAGCAATAACAAGAGTCTGTTCCCACCAGGTGTGGTTGGCAACACGGATTAAACAGCCAATTTATTTTGTCAAAAACCAAATTTTCAAGAGGACCATTGGAGCAATTCATACAAATAATCATTGCATAAAAACATAACTGATTAAGATAATTCCCATGAAGAGCAAAACAGAAAATCTTTGACTAGTAAGTGAGTATGACAGCTATCACAACCTATATAGTTCACTACATATAGAGCCTTTTAAGCTCTTAAATTGAATTCGTGCTTTAGGTATGCATAATTCACTTTCACCACAAACCTATGAAAGTAATTGACCCAATACATAAAGAACTTACCTTACAAAAACATTTTAAGAAAATGCTCAGGCTTTGAAGGGATGCTCAACAAACAAAAAATCATATTACTAGTATTGTGCCTTCAAGGGCCTCAACAAGACAAAAAAGACATCCTGGATGCTATAAAGCTCCCACTATGCGAAGTCAAGGAAAGGGTTAGATCCACTGTGTAGGTTGCATTTGCAAGAGGCTGATTCCATGATTCAAAACTGTGACCTCTGGATCACATGGCTTCAACAAGCAAAATGCAATAAATTAAATAAATAAACTTTCACAAACCTTCAGATATATGCCAACGGATGCTGGATAGTTGGGTCTCATGCTCGGGCAGTGACTCTTTCTGCTGTTCATCGATAACTGCAAAGCATATCAACCCCATTGCTCTTAAAATCTTAATCTACAAATCCCAAGTAAAGGTTCAAAACTTCAACTGCAAGTACACACACATACAGACATACCTACTACTGTAATGTCAGCTCCATATTTTTTAGCTAAAGCAGTGGTAGTTGCTATAGCCTAAAATATAAAGACAATAACCACGAGTCAGTACTTTTGGTGAAAAGAAATGCACAAATTAAGTCAAGGCCCTCATCAGGAAACAGAATTTTATATTTTCTAATAGCAACAACATCCAGTATTTCAGAGAACACACAAACAACAAAATTTCAACCCTATCTAATAAGTAAAAGAAGAAGAAAAAGAAGTGCATAACCTGTCTTGTTCCTTCTGAGAGATAGGGATTCCTATCTGTAATAGGCAAAAGCAGATGCTTGAATTCTGTATAGGCATCAATTGCTACACTGACTTCAGGTTCTTGTGGTTTAGCCTTAGCTGAATTGAGATATGAAACCAATCTAAACTTTAGAAGAAGGCAATTATTGGAAACTCCATAAAGCAAATGCCGAAATTGTTCACCTCAACGAACTGATTTTGAATTGCACAACACAAACATAGAAAACAGATGAATTTTTTTTTTTAAACTGTTACCTTTATGACTGGTCCTGCGAAACCTGGAAAATAGTGAGTGCTTATGAGCTCTGGCACGAAGGGTAGAAGGCAAGTTTAAACACTCTGAGGAAATCGAAAACGGTGGATTCAATATCGTAGCTTTTGGGCACCTTGGGGAGGGTTCAACGGGAACTGCAACCAAATAATGAGCAAACGCCATAACCTAATAGGAGAAGGTGGTGCTAACTTCACAGTTCAGGGAAGACAGAAGAACAAGATAGTGGTGGGTTCGAGAAACAGTATAAAAGAACATTATAGACTATATCAAAAAAAATACAACATAATAGTAGTACATTTAGCAATGATATTAAACTCAACCAGGTTATTGAACCGGTCGAGGTCCTGGGTTACTGGGTCATTGGTTTCAACCAGTGGGTCACTGGTTGAATGACCCAGTAAATATATATAAATTTATAATTTATGTTAAAAAAATTATTAAACATATTCACATACATATAAAAATAATATCAATTTCAAATATTCTAATATAAAAAAATAAATCTTTAATTTACTTAAATAGTGCACAACTCCTAATGAGCTTTTTTCTTGATTTTCTTTTTATATTTTAACACAAAATGACTCTTTGTTTTGGACTTAAGCTAATTAGCCCACTTATTAAAGCCCAAAAATTAAAATCCAGCAAAAATTGTGGCAAACAAAAGCAATTTTCAAGTCTAAAATTCTCGTATACCTAGAGCCCCTCTGAAGTCCCAATCCCTCAATCAATTTTACTAAGCACACTTTCTCGATACTTGTATCAATGCACATTTTCTTCTCTCTTGTCTTTTTCAATTTTCACATTCATTCACCCACTTTGCCTTTTCATTCTATTTTTTAGAACGAAACGTTCTCTATTCGGTGGAGAGAACAACATTTTGTAATCCATTGTTACACCATGAAGAGAGATCACCAGAACATTTTCTATTCTTTGTTACACCAACCAAGCAAAACTTTAAGCGTTTTCTATTCTTTGGAAAATCGGTGGAAGTTTCGTAACCCATGAAGAAGAGTCGACCAAGATATTCCAGTCCGCCTGAAGAAGAGAAGCAAGCATTTGAGGCGACTCATTCTTGACAGACATGGCAACTAGATTCTTGTTTGTTGTTGTAACTCATTTTTCTTTTCTGATTTTTGTGTCCTCCGTCACTAGATCTGTGAATCCCTCCATCTTAAGGCTGTGAAGGGGCAAAGACCGGTTGGACTCGGTGAACCAGCGGGTCACCGGTTTTAATAAAACCCGGCCGAGTTGCACGGGTTACGCCGGTCGGCTTGCATGTCCGATCCTTTAGCTTACCCGGACCGGTGAGATCACCGGTTTACCGGTTTCCGGGTTGAACCGGCCGGTCCGGTCCGGGTTTTATAACACTGACATTTAGAGAGAGAGAGAGCGCTTCAGAGGAGCAATTAGTTAGCGCTCCCGGCTCACGTGAGTCGGGTAGAAACAAAAAGTGAAGAGAGAGAAAAAAAGAGAGAGGAGAGAGAAAGGAAGGAAGTAGAGAGAGAAAGAGACCATCAAATTATTTTCCACTTCAGAGGTGTTTGTGGTAAAAGAGAAAAAAACATTATTTGAAAAAAATAATTTTTGAGAATATAGTGAGATTTTTTTTTCTGAATAAGTTATTAAAACATGTTTGGTAGGCCAAATTTTTTCGAGAATGTCGAGTTAATTTTACTGATATTGTGTGTTAATTTTTTCATCATATGGGAAAAAACAAACAATTTCACTCCTTCAATGGTAATCTTTCCCAACTATTTTACATAGAAAAGCAAATGATGGGAAAAAAAATTTCAACTACATTTTTACTTCATCTTCTACCAAACTTAGGCATAATTTTCCCTATCTCATTTTTCTAGGCATAATTAATGAATACAGATTGAAGAGGCGACGATATAAATTGAATTCGGTGGACCAACCCGCTAACCCGTTAAAATGGGGTAGGTAAGTTGGATTGAGGCTTTTAACCCCGCCAATCCATTTCCATGTGTCCCACCTAAAAGTGGGTCAAAATGGATTTAACTCGCCGTGGAGAGTTGACTTGCAAGATCATAATTTTTATTTTTATTTTTTATAATTAAATAATATTTTATTTGTCATTAACCTTTTATGATATTTAATTTTTTTTAATCTTATTAATCCCTAGAAAAATAAAGAATAAAAATTTAGTTTATGACAAATGTTGTCTATATATGGAGAGACAAATGAGTTCTTAAAGAATGTTTAACTGAATATTAGTATACATGTGACATTGAGATTTAAAAAAATTAAGAGAAGATTGAAATAAAATTAAATAATATTATAAAATTCATAAAATATAATTTATTTTTGAATTTTAATTAATTTTTTAATTGGTGAGTTGAGAGTTTGACCCGCCAATCCATCAACTCACCATAAAACATGATGAGTTCATTTTTTTAACTCATATTCAACGGTGCACCAACCCGTCCCGTTTTTGGTAGGTTGATGGCGGGTCGAGGCCCGCCAATCCATATTGCCGCCTCTGATTGTAGCATGGAACTGAGGTTTATAGAGGAATCTGTCCTGGCGCAGTACTCTTTAGCCACCTGTTATCATGCCCCCCACTTTGGGGTGTACATGAGTCAAATTGAATTGAATTTTTTGAAGAATTGAACCGATTGGTTTAAATGGTTAGGTTCGGTTTGAAAACAGTGTGGTTCGGTTGAAAATCGGTTCGAGGCTTATAATTATAATGTTTAGTAGGCTGGAATGAATTATAATTATAAAAATATATTGATTTTTGCCTCAAAATGATGCCTTTTTTGCTCAATATAAATAAATTATCTACATTGACTGTAGAAAAAGTGAACCCTTCTTTCAATTGTTGAATGTTTAGTAGGCTTAAACAGGCTAAGAGGCTTAGGCCAAGTCTTTTATGTTTTGAATATATGTCAGACCAGACTTGTAATCTGAGGCCTGCACAGGCTAACAAGCCAAGCCAGAACCAATATTTTTTTATACAAGCTTGAGCTTATTTAAGCCAAAGTCCAACCTATTTACACCCTTAAGTCTAATATCATATATATATATATATATATATATATATATATATATATATATATATATATATAACATTATCTGCCAAGAAGTTTTATAAGCATTGATTTTTTCAATATATCAACACTTTGTACTTTGCAAGGGCATCCCTCTGCCTCTTTTTGTCTAAGAAATTTGTTTCTTAGCTCAAGAAACTCGGTTTTTTGACCACACACATATTTAGATTATCTTATATGAGAAATCCCATAAACTCTTTAGGCAGACAAGCATGCGAATACTTCCAAAATAAAAAAAAAATTGTAAGTCATAACGTACCATTACTTAAATTTGACATCATAAGAAAAGTAAAAACAATCATATCATTGCAGTGAATCTTAAAAAAAATGTAGATATAAGAATTTTTACCGTACAAAACTTATCATACAAAGTTTACCATGCAAAATTTATCGTGATTTACATAAAAATTAAAAATATAACATATCAGTATAATAAACATGTAAAAATAAAAATAAATTTAAATAATACATGTACGATATTTATTACATATATGACATTATAATATATATATATATATATATATATATATATATATATATATGCTACTATGCAAATAAATTGTAATTATAAATTACAAAATTTTAAATTTTCTTAAATATAAATTTGAAGATATATACCTAAATGTATACTTATAATATATAATAATATAAAGTGCAGAAAAGTAAATTACTGAAATATAAATTATGCAATATATATATATATATATATATATATATATATATAAATAAAGTGCAGAAAAGTAAATTATTGAAATATAAATTATGCAATATATATATATATATATATATATATATATTTATATATGTATATATATAGGTTTATCGTTTTTCTTATCACAAGAGATAAAGTTATATCTTGCAATCTCAAAACTACATTGTTTTGGGGAGTGAGAGAATTAATTAAGAATATTTTAGGAATTTTATTTATTTATTTTTTATATAAATTTGTCAAAACACCCTTCATTAATTCCCACAATATTCAAAATGACGTAGTTTTGTGAGGAGATAAATTTATCTGTTGTGGCAGGAGAAACAATAAACTTATCTCAAGCTGCTTGAAAAATATTTTTCCCATATATATATATATATATATATATATATATATTTATTTATTTACCGGGAAAGATTATACTTACTGTAATTCTAGTCTTATTACTCTTACTACCTGATTGGTTACCATTTGATCAATTTGAAATCAACGGTTGAAAAATGGAAAAAAAAAATTAACTATCATTGATTTCAACCGTTGATTTCAAATTGATCAAATGATAATCAATCAAGTAGTAAAAATAAAAGGCTAATGTTTATCAACAAAAAAGAGAGGCTAAAATGGTAATAAGTATAACCGCCCCATATTTATTTATATATATAATTATAAAGTGTAGAAATATAAATTACAAAAATACAAATTATAAAGTATAAATTGTAAAAATGTAAATTGCTATAATTAAGGAATAAGGAATTTAGCCATAATGATGCTTTGCATGGAGATGGGCTAACGGTTGTCAAGCAAGGCAAATCAATTTTTTTGTTTTTGAGGCAAATCAATTTGAATGCTATTGGCTTTGTTCAATTAGCTCATCTGCTACCGTTAATGTCAACCATGTTACGTTTGAAAATGTCGAAAGTAAAATTTAAGAGAGTATGAAGTTCTATATTAATTAAAAATGGATTAAGTAAAAAACACATATAAACACATACCTTAAGTTTTGAATTTAGATATGATATCAAATTCATTTATTATAATATGTCTCTTCGTCTATATACAGAGGTATGCAGGGTTTTGGGCTCCCGTATTATTCTAGCAAAAAAGACAAAAATAGCCGAAATAGGAAAAGACAAAAATCCCAGTCGATTGATCTACATGATAGAGATAGTAATAAGGGTTAAAGAGGAAGGATAAACCTATAACACTCTGTCTGCAGCTGATTTGTTAATATATATACGGTTACAAAATTTGTCATAATTAATTAATTTAGCGGAAGAATTAACGTAAAAGTATTACCGTTACACCGAATAACAAAGTGACTTAACTTTTTTCTTTTAATTTATCTTTACGTATCATCGTGCACAATTTATTTTTCAATATAACATGATCTATACAGTCTCATACCTGCATAGAACCATACTTAATAAACCTGTGACCATAATTAATGATCAAATCACTATCCAAATATGATAATAGA